TATTAGTTGATGTTTTCTTGTAGGGTTTTCATGCAGTAGTTATGGAATAGTATCCTATTTTGATATTCACTGTATAAACTCAGCTTTTAACATACAGAAATTAAATGGAATTTTCTGAAATACGTAAGAAAATATAGGTATTAGTAATACCAGAATGCTAAAACCACCGTTAATGTTGAAAAAGCAAGACCTTTATTATTTAGTAGTCAGAGTATTCATGTTTTGGTTGCCTTATAACACGCTTGCTTACTAGATGAGTAGACTGTCTTCCATGTTGTGTGTTATGGCTATAAACTTGACTAAGCAGAATTTCCTTTTGGAAATACAAAAATAGTACTTATTGGTGACTCTTACTCATTTATGTCCATTAATTTAAAAGGTGTCATCAGTGAATAGCACTATTCTTCTAGCTATTCATTAACTTTCAGATAGATTTGAATACTTGGGAAAATTGTGTACCTTGGTGAAGATAAGTTGGTGCAAAAGATGTAAAAATGAGTCTGTCATGGAAAGGAAAAAGTCAATTTCTTTTTCTGAAACTTTTGCCAGATGAGCAGACTTCTTGAGTCCTTATTATAGATGTTGTCTGTTGTATATTATGTTGGCAACTACTTTATCTTGATTGATTTCCTCAGGAGAAAGTGTCCCTCCCAGAAGTTTCAAGCTTTCTTCTATCCCTTCGACCAGAGGAGTCCCTAAGGAGGGATACCATGTTATGGATGGAGGTGAGAACTAGTGCTGGTTTTATGTTCATCAAACATTTTTAATACCTATACAAATGTATGATTTATTATTGCTAATTTAATATTTAAATAGTTAGCTACTTTTGCATTGGTATATTCTGGGATTTCTGGATGTGTAGTGCTGATGGATTTATATTTCACTTGAAAGCTGTGATTTTTTTTTTATTTTTATTTTTTAAAAAAATAAAATCTGTAGAGGGGTTGGTGTTAACCCTAAACGAATTATTTGGCAGATTCAAAATGGAAGAATTCTTGAGTGGTTGAAGTTCAGGTAAGGTGGGCAGGGAGAAGAATAGGACTTTTTCTTTCTTCGTGCAGAAGTTATCAATTCTGCAGAAGAAAAAGCTCTTTCTTGAGGTAGAGGTTTTTTTGAACTCCTTCAGAGGCTGTATGCTCCAGATCATTGTGTTTCCTAGAGTTCATCTCATATTGCAGCTGTTGGGTGTAACCGTATTGAAATGCAAATCAGAATCAGGTCTTACTCCAGATTTTTCATCCCTGAATACTGGTCTTACAGAAACTTCTGTATGTTCATCACAGTCCTAGTCTTCTGCATTCTTTGCCAAGATGATAGGAATTAAATCACTATTGGTAAGCTGTACTAGTATCTGTAATCTCTCCCATCAGGGATCCGTGCTCACTCCTCTGATGGTTGGTAACTTCATGGAGAGAGTGTAAAGCAGGGCACCTTGTGGAATCCACAGAGCTGCGACTTGGGCTTCTCTCTCTACTTTTATTAAGAGTACCAGGTGGATGTAATATCCTCAGCTGAAGCTGCTCTTGCTCCTCCAAGTCTACAGGCAGTTACATCTGTATATTATATATATTCTCTTTGTAGTTCTGAAATTACTGTACAAAATAATGTGGATCCTGGGAGACTGAATGGGCCAGTGTAAGAGCTGCCTCTGATTTGCATGTTGTTTGGATGAACCCAGCGCTGGTAGGAATAACAGGGTAATATCAAAGGGAAAAATGTGCCTGCCATGTAGAGTGAGATTGTAAATTTTAAATTTCCAGAGGATGTACATTTTATGTCTTTGCAAGATGCAAAATGCTATGAAAAAGCCTCGAAGAAGAAAGCACTTTACATATAGGATGTACGGAGCTAACTGAATACATAGATGTAACTTTGGTTAATTGTACAGCGATATAATGATAAATGATTTTTTTGCATCATGTTCTCTTGTTGTGTATGCTGTACTTTGCATACTATTCTGTTGATTTTTGGCATAAAAATTAAAAAAAAATGCAGCTCTCACTAGGTAACACTTGGCTGTGGGAAGCTGTTTGGAGAGAAGGGAATTTTTACTAGTCCTGCTTATTTTTAAAAGCCAGGCTTTTTCCTATATTGGTACCAATAACCTTTTTTTAAGGTATTCTGAATTACTCTGGAAGAAGTTTTTTTGATGGTAATTAGAGGGGAATAGTCTGCTAAGCCTCAAGGTAGATACAGTTAATCCTCACAGTGTGGATTTGTTGATGTTACAGCTCGTATTTAACAGTGCTTTAATTTATTGTTACGTTGGCAATGTCAGTATAGAGCTGGCAGGTATGGTTAAATAGTAACATACTGGTTTTAATTTAGCTTTGCAGGTGGTTGCAAGTGAATGACAGATGCTTCAGAAAGTCTATAACCTCTGATTTTGAACATCAAGAGACATCATCATTATGTCAATATGTACGCAGTCTTGTGGGAGAGTACCTTAAGACACCAACATCTGAAAGTAAGTTAAATGTTTATTAATACAAAAAGATTTTGAAGATAATTTAAACAAAACGATTACAAAAATCCTTTAGATTCTAGAAGAGCTGTTTATGTATACCTATTCAACTTCTACCTAATTTGTGGTATTCATTATTCTTAAATTTGAACTTTATCTTCTAATTCCAGTTTTCCTTCATAAAATACAGTCCTGCAGTATTAATTGAAAGTTAAACCTTAACATTTGATTTTAATGCTGCACTGATGTTTGTCCATTAGATTTCTTTTCTTACTTTTTTGGTGGTGTGTGAAAATGCTGGAGTGTGGGGGCAGAGGAAGGCACTAGGGAATGTGAATAGATACAGGCTCTGTAGCTTTTCTCAGCAGAAAAGACCAAGTATATTTATGGAGAGCGACGCCATAAAGTTGCGCAGGTTGGCAGCTCATTACACACCTTGCTGCATGATGATGTTCTTTTGATCTTGGACCGCTTAGTTTAGAATTTTCTTTCAGGTACATTGCAAGGCAAATTGACTTTTTGAATACTTTAACTTTTGTGTGGTACTAGCTTGTTTGCTACTTAAGTACTGCAATCATATCAATTTTTTTATAGTTTTATAATGTCAACAGTAAAAAATGAACACTTTCTTAATGTTATACCTATAGGATGTATAAAAACTAGGCCAGAATTTGCTCATGATAAATAAGTTCAGAAGCTTCCTGCAGCCTGGGAAACTTCACTTGATTGTCTTATTGTTAGAAAAGTTGCAAACAAATTTTGTCTGTTGATATTCCAAGGTAAATGCTTTGCGAAGAATTTTGGCAGATCTTCTCTCCTTCCTGTAACGTTTGTTTAGTCCTTGGTCTATATTATCTGTAATTCCATGGCAAACATCTGTGTTTCACTTCTAAAAAGTGATGTTTGTAATTTCCTGATCCGATAGGAATATTAGCTTATAAGCAGTTCTGTGGAGGAAAAAAAGATAAAAATCAGCCATGACCAGCTGCTTGAACTGGACCTCCAAAGTTTGTTTTGCTTTCTAAATTCCCAAAGCCAAAAACATACCAGTCAAAACCCCTAAAACCAGTTTGTGTGCTACTATTTAAGACACAATTTTATAGGTATGATGATGTAGTCTTGCATAAAAGATCAATGAAAAGAGAAACTTCAGGTTTTTAACTTCCTTTTGACAGAATAGTTGTAATCCTTCATATAACTCTTAGCTGCTCAAAATCACAACTGGTGTTTCTGACAAAGCATAGTGGAATTATGTTCTTGGTTAACTTGAGTATCCTAATGTATTTTTAAAAGCAATAGAAAAGTCTATTGGGAGCTACTACGTAATCTATGCTACTACAAACTATAACACATTGCCTAAAATTGATTTAAGCATAGAGGCCAATGAGATTAGCCTCTTTGAGGTGTAAAGGAAAACGTTTGAGCAATGTTTGAATTTGGTTTATATCTAGATGAAAGAATGCAAAAAAGTAGGAGTAATATTCTTGTTAGCATTAATTTTTGTTATACTACTAACTTATTTTAATAAGTTTTAAAAACAAAAGTTTAAAAAATTAATACAAAGGTATTTCTGAAATACTGTGGAAACCTTAAAATATCTTTAACCAGGAGAAAATTGCTTTATGCCTGACTGGTTTGAAGCTAAGCTTGTCACAACAATGATTCTGTTGGCTGCAGATGTGGAGCAGATGAGGAATAAATACAGGTAAGTATGAAATACCTTATTTTACATTTCTCTCTTTTTCAACCCCCTCACTCCATCAGGCTGCTACCGGATCCTTCAGAAGTCAGGAAATTGTCCATTTTTCTCTGTAGACTTTCGGTCAACCTGATCATTCCTTAGACCTTGTCCAACTGTTGCTGCAAACATACTGGGTAACATTTCTAAAGATACTTAAGTGACTTGGAAACGTGTCCTATTTATTTCCATAAGTGACTTCAGCACTTAAGGCAGATACTCAGAAGAAGACTTTCTTTTTAATTTTTGTTTTTGTGTAGTGGAAAAAGCAACATAGAATGGATTGAACTAGAGGCTTTCTTGAACCCTCTTCTGGATGTCTTGATGAAACTTGGCAGTAATGCTTACATACCAACACTGAAAACAGATAAAAGCCTACAGCTTCTCTTGAAGTTATTGCAGACCCGTTCGTTAAAATGTTCCAATACGCAAGATGGTTAGTGATATCTTCAGTATACTGTGTCTTATATTAATTACAGTCTAACTAAAATTAAGGTACTTACTGTTTTAAGGCTATATTGTCAAATTTATCCTAGCCTAGAAGTGGTAAATGTAACAGTTGACAGTCTGACGTATCTGTTGTGAAATTGAGCTGTGGGTCCAATCCTACAGGAGCTCTTCTGAAGGTGTCCCAAGGACTGGAAATTGAGAATATGGAAGGCTTCTGAGAAAGCAATTCTTATCCATTAAGATTAGATTCGCAGTTAGTTAACATTTGGAGAGTATGACCGTATTACAAATATTTATAGGCCTATTCTTTGCCAACGTATGGATTCCATTAGTCATTTAGACAGTTCAGAAAGGAGTTAGCACAGAAACCCAGCCTAACCTGCTTAGTTGCCACAGGTTCAGCCAGAGCCTTCCCTGAGTGTATAAAGTGATCCTTCTACACATACCATTTTTTGAGTTGACTGGTAGATCATTTTGTCGTGACTAACACTGTTCAGACTGCAAAAGACAGGATGCCTCTGATGATTTCACAGTATTAGGCATGATTTCAGTAGGCATGTTTGACTGACTTGGTTTAGTTTGACCTTGGTTGGAAGCAAGGAGCTTGAGGTACTCACTTAAGCACAAGCCTGCTGATCTGACTGTCTGGGAGTTTTGCCCTGCCACAGATTGAGTGCTTTAACTTGTAGACCTTTCAGGAGAGTCTGAACAAAATCTATGGAGTCCTTACTACTCCTGTCGTTAGATCTTGGTCAATTTGGAACCAGAATAGACTTTTTTTTTTCCCTGAGAGCACATGAAAAATTGCAGTATTATTGTCATGAATTAGGATGCTGAACTGGAACAAGAGGGATTTTGGCTTTTCGTTTCTGATTCCCCAGATTATTTGGGGATTTTTTTCAGTACTTTTTATAATATGGAATGTAAGAGTAGTTTTGGAACAGGGTCCACAGATCTATGCTTTTATGGGGAGGGTGGGGGGCGGGAAATATTTCAGGTTCTGCATCCAGGTTTCATAAAGATGTCTAAATGCAGCCCTGAAGTAAATGCTCACCCTCATTTTAAAAAGTACTTTATACATTCACCCTCCTTTTGAATTTTAGCTGTTTGACTGAAATATTGAGCACTAATTATGCGGACTGTTAAAGTTCATATTATGGGATGGTCTGTGACTGCTGAATTGGATTCCTTCAGATGAAACTAAAGTGGAAGATGGGCCCCAGCTGCCAGTGTGCATTCAGTCTATAGCATGAGGCTAGAACAAGCCTGAAGCTTGTGTTAGAACCCTACAAAACACATGCGAGTGCACGTTAGGTTTTTAGTATCAAGAATTTAACTCCATAAATAATTTCCTTGTGTGCCTTATTTCCTGATGTGCTTGCTGATGTAGATGTAATTGATTGCTCCTGCTTTGGGAATTTTGATGCCTGACTTAACGCGTTAAGTTCTGCTAACAGAGTTCTTAAGGTGTGGCAAGGCTGAGCATCAATCGCAGTGTCTCCATCCTTTTGAATGCCTCCATAGGTATTCAGCACAGCTCGTCGTCAGCAGAGTCTTTCAAGAGGCTTTCAGAATTGGACTTGTAATGTTATGTCTTTTTGTGTTAAGTTAAATGAGGATTACTTTTCTTTTCTTGTGTTATCTCCTACAGTGTTTTCAAGCTTCATCCCTCCAAGGAGAGCCAAGTAATAAATGTTGTTTCTGCAGCTGTGAATTCACTGTGTTGAGGGGTGGGAAGAGAAGTGCTGTAAAATACAGAAGTTTTGTTTCCATGTTGATTAAACAGGAGGTGAAAAGTCCTTCTGTCAAATGGAAAAGGATAAAATGAGAGGGAAGAAGGAAGGAGTTTAAGCTTATAAAACAAAAATAACAACAATTGGGAAGTGTTTCATTTAAGACTGCTTCAATGTAGATAGACGAGTCTGAAATGCGTGCTGAAATCAGCAGCATTTTTCTACAGGTCTTGCTGTCTGTACTGTCAGACTTCACTATTTTAAACAGTAAGTTTTTGCTAATTATTTTTTTCTAGTGTTACAGAGCCACTGCTAGTGAATTGGATTTTATGTCCAATGTGTTTATCTAAAGATTTTCTGAATTTTAAGTGCAGAAGACGTTTTAGTGATTTGAGACTTATGATGAAATGTGATAATAATCTGACATAGTTAAACTGTTCTAAACAAATTAAGCATTAGAAATGCAGTCCAATGAGCCATTTTGATAAAGAACTTTGCAAGTAAGTACCATATAGATTTGGAACTTTGGGAAATAATGTCCCTTTATATTTCTACCTTTTGAAGGCCTTTCATTTCATAATAATTTCAGTACATGCAGTGTTACTCAGAGTTAACTCCAGAAAAAAACTAGCTGGCTAACTGTCCTAAATGCTGAAACTAATGGCTGGTATTTTTAGAACAACGTAGTCATGCAGAATATTTTAACTCCATCTTCATATTAATATGTTATTTCTTTGGCTTTCAGCTTAGCCCTTACCTTTGAAGTGTGTTTGTGGTTAAATATGATTTACCAGAGTGACCTACCTCGATTATGTAATAAACTTGTGTGGCTTTGTTTGTGAAATGCTATGCGCACGCAATATACTTTATAGCCTGGTCTTTTCTTAGAGAAAGTGTTGCTTTTTGTGTTGTAACCTTGCCTTTTTGTTTACAATGTTAAGTCAGGAAGCTACTTGACTGAAATCTTGTAAGATCACTCTGTATCCAAAGCTGCATTATTTCTAAACAGCAAAAAAAACCTAACCAAAAAAACAGTTTTTACTTCAGTACATATTAGAAATGGATAACTGCATTTTTCTCACATACAGCTAGTTGTGGATATGGAAACTTTTGTTCTTTATTACAGAGTAAAATCATTAATAAGCTGTTTGTGCAGAGGGTTGGGAGTAGGACAAAAGTGTGCATTAAAAGTTGGAAAATTATGCTTTGGTCTTCTGGTTTTATGTGGGTTTTGGTTTGCTAATTCATGATAAATCTCAGGAAGGAGTATCATGTACTTTGTTTTTTTCAGCCCTATGGCTTACACAGCTAAAGAGTACAGAGCTGGTTTAAGGTATTCTTAGGTATTTGAATACTTAATACTGTGTAACTTTGACTCTTAATTAAATCTGCTTGATACAATAAATTTATTAAGGAAGTTGTATTTCTGCGTGTAATACATTTTTTTTTCCTCTCTTTGCACAGATGGAGTATTGTTTTTTATCTGGAAATCTCTAATGACACCTGTGGAGAGTATTCTTGAATTTGTTCTCCGACGGCTTACTACAAATGAGTTAAGCACTGTAAGTAATGATTATGAAATATATTTTGGTGCGGTTTTGCTTGTTAACTTGATTTACCAGTGTTCCTAATTTTCATATCAAATCTTTAAACACCTAGTAAGTCAGTTTTCATAGAAACAGTTCTGTTAACTTTGTAGTTTGGAGACTTTCAGTACTCAGCCTGGTCAACATCTTTATTGGCTGTCTTCCACTGTTTGCTCTTTGCTGTGGCCAGTGTTTAAGTTTATATCCCAAAGAAACCTGTGACTTTTGAAGCAAAATCACTTGATGGTAGAGGAGTTTGACTTCTTTAAAAATACCGTCTTGAACGTATCGAAGAACTGCACAGCTTTTTAGAGAGAGAGGAGGTACATGTTTCCTTCTCTAAAGAACTTTCAAGTCATGTGTCAGTAGACACAAGACATATGAAGCAAAATATTTACAGATGTTTCCAGATGGAGAAAGAGGAATTAGAATGTAATGTTGATGAGGAGAACGTTTTATTTTTGGAAGAAAATAGATTTCAGAAAGAGGGATTGGTGGAAGTTAAAAAGGTGGCTTAATTCTCAAAACTCAAAAGCTCAATGAAATATGAAGTAGGAACTTCGAAAGCAAGGTAAAAATAGATTAAGAGTTTCAAGAGAAGGATATGGAGTAAAAGAAAATGAAAAGTTCTAAGATCTTCCCAATTCTTTTAATTGTGACGTTTGATTATGTCACCTTTAATTTTATATCATAAAAGACAGAAAACCAAAGCAGAGACTTAAAAAGAAGACATCGGTTTAAATATTGTTCATTTAGTAGACTGTATTTGGGTAGACTATTGGGAAGAAGGGAGAAGACCAGAAAGATTGGAAAGGAAGAGGTGACTGTAACAAGGAGATGGACAAAATGTGAAGTGGCATTATTAGAATTATTTAGTGAAGAGTGAGTTTAGAAAATAAAACCGGTTTAGGCTTCATTGGGAAAGTTGTATGGACAAGTATGCAGAAATGATAATGAACAGAAGTCAAATTTGCTTCTCGCGTTTGGGAGAGTGAGAAAAGTCTGTAAGTTGGAGGGGAAAGGAAAGCGTGTCTTTTCTGCGAGGGTGGAAACTTGGAGAGGAACATGGGGCTCTGGGGTACTTCCTCAGAAACAGTATGGAAAGTACAAATTAAAGGGGAAAATGCAAAGAAAGAAAATAAATGCAATAATGGACAGTCCCCAAAACACGAGTGTGATGGAAGATCAATGTGAAATGTGGTCCTGCGTCAAAGCAAAAGTTGGAGTTGAATCAGGAGAATGGCTTCTGAAGGTAAGTGAAAAATCAAAGGTGTATTTTCTCTCAAAACCAGAGGAAGAGTTCTTTCTGCATGCAGTTCCTTGAGTGCATGGCTTTATATGGGGATGTTTTTTACGATACATGGAGAAAAGTTGCAAGTACAAGAGGAGAATAAAAAGCCATAAAACAAGCAAGATAAGATAGCTATGAGATAAAATGTAGTTGGGGAAGAAGTGCAAGGCGCACCGTAGAGTGCGTACAGGGTGCAGTGCTGTGCTGTGATTCGACAGCTGAGGTGGCTTTGAACACGGCTTCTGGCGCTCAGGTGCTCGTACATGGCATCCCTCTGGGCCCAGGAAGGGAAGTTAAGTAAACTTACCAATCAAAAGAAGTGGAGATTCAGAATTTCACGCTGTCTCTTCTAAGGCATAGTCCTGGGCCTAAAACTAAAAGAACCTGTAAGATGAGAAGATTTAAAAAATTATAGTAAAAAAAAAAACAACCAAACTTAAATAAAAGGTTGTTCAACTGCAGTGACTGCTGTTGTTTTCCTTCTGCTAACATTGTTACTATTAGTTTTCTTTCTTTTCAGTTTAAGTTTCCTCCTCTTAGTGCTTCAGTTTACCTTTGTTTCCCCATTTTTAGGTTGGCGATCTGGATCGTTGTGATCTATACTTAGCTTTAATTCCAGAGATGGTGAATTTGTGCTTGCAAGTCAGCTGGAAGAAAGTACCATCTATCAGGAATTTCATTTTGTCCCTGACAAATGCATCTATTCGTAATCTTCAGGAGAGAAATTGTGAAGAGGTAACTTAACATTATTTACAACAGTAGATATTAATTAAAATAAATATTTTGTTAGTAATGCTTATATAAGTTTTAGATTATGTACACATAATTATATAAACATGAGAAATCTAACTTAATGTACAAATATGTATATATTTTATTATACATATTAATATAAATATATCTCATGTATAATAATAAAAAGTTTGTGTGAATATGTATGTGTGTGTATATATATTCCCTAACACATATGTGTCTTTAGTGGGCAGTATAATGTTAATGTAAAATATTCGTAGCGAAGATTGTTAGTACTTTTGGTATTTATATTACATTTTTTTAGAAGTCTGTATAGCTAAAGTAAAACTTTAGTTGTAGTAATGGACTATGTGTACTCCAAAAGCTTTTTCCTCAAATATGAACCAATCTTATAGAGGAAGTTACTGTCAAATGAAAATGCCTTTTGTATTAATGATCTGTTGAATTTCCAAGCTGGAACATACAGAGAAAAAGAAATTCTGGAACCCAGCATTCCTTTTGCTTTTTCATACAGTTATGTTCATTGTCCCATAGTTGTATGTATTAGGCTAGTGTATCTGAAATAGATATATCTTCAAAAGATAAAGAAACATTAATACCTTCTGTTAAAGGAGGAGATTTAAGATTTGTTGGGTGGTATAATCTTTGGTATTTTTGGGGTTGAATTATTGATCAAGAACAGTTATTAACACATTAAAAAGATTGTATGTATTTGATTTGCTAGGTTTACTTTTCTAAGGAAACAAAGAGCAAGAGATACTTTTTTATCCTGTGGTTATGTGAATTGCATACTTATTCCAGTAATTTCAAAGTAAACATTTTATGGTTCAAACTCAGTGTTCACTGGTGGCCTTTACTGCCACCTTCTGAATTCAGTGGAATTACCTTGTCGTGGTGATTTCTTAAGTTGCACGTATAGTGTGTCTTCAGTTTAAGAAGGAAAAAGAAAACACCGAGTAATTACAGATGAGAAAAATCTTTTATGTGCTCTAGACAGCTGAAAGTAACTTGAAGTTATTTAAATAACATTGATCTTTTAATACTATTGGGGAACTGTATGCTTATTGATGTTTTTTCTGTTGAGGCTTTTTAGTTTATGCCTCTCTGAATATATGTGTTTATTGCACAGAATAATCATAGCAGGTGTTCTGACCTTTCAGCCTCTTGGAGCAGTTAGCATGTGATATTCCGAATTTCAGCTGTTTTGTTGCATTGGGTTTCTGACTACGTGGACCCACATTGTTTTTCTAATTGCTATCCAGCAATATATATAAACTGCTACCTGATAAGATAGAAGCATTCCATCGTAGTTGAGCTAGGCACTTGCACTTAATGAATAAGTGACTGTAATTTGCAAGACTTACACTCTTTTCAATGCTTGCAACTTGTGATAGATTGCACTGATCCAGTCAAGCAAAGTTATTTTCTTACCCTGTGCATAACGTAAGGAAGTAGAAGGATGCAGAGTTTGCTACCTTATGATGTCTGAGGTGATACAAATAGCATAGTGATACATTTGATAATCCTCCTATTTGTATCATATTAGAAGAAATCTGTGCACGTTTGTTCATGTATGATTTGGTTTTAATTAGGAGCCGAAACTTAAAGAGCAGATTAAAAAAGTAGCTAGCATGGCTTCACTTACAGCAGTTTGTGAGATAATGGATCGGAAACCTGAAGCGCACCTTGAATCTCTGCCTTCTGTGGATGCTCTGAAGAGGTTTATTTCCTTTTCTCAATTCAATGAACTATTAAAGAAGCCATCTTATATTGAAGAAAAAAGTAGGTATGTCTGTGCTATAGTTGCAGTAATTCTCCAGAATAAATTTGATTAGGCTGGAGCAATGATTAAGATGCTGGCTTTTCCTGTTCTTTTCTTTGATAACTTTTTGCCAAGATAAAAATTCTGAACACAAGCTAATCATTCAGTTGCTCTTTTGTCTTAACATTCAGGTTTTAGAACATTAAAGCAGCCATAATTGATCAGACCACATGTTAATTTTCTCAGTCCTCTAGTGTTATGAAGCCAGAACTAGCTTTAAACTTTGCTTATCTTTATGCCAGTTTAAATATATATACACTACACAAAGCCACAGTATGTACACAAGCCAGTTTAAAAGGAAATTATTTACTGTTGGGGAGGGGAAGCTCAGAGCAAGCCTGAGGACCAAAAACCAAACGCTTATGACTAATGAGACTGCCTGAGCCCAGAACTGATTTTTTTGTGTTTTAAAAAAAAAATAAAAAATTGTAGATTTCTCTTCCATAAACTTGTCTAGTCTCCCCTTGAGCCTGTGTAAATTTTAGTATCTTGAACTATAGTGAGTTTGTATAGTTAAGTTTTTTCTGGTGGAGTAGGAATGTAGAGGATAAATTAATATATATTTAAGAATAATATTCTCCTTATAGCTTATGCGAAGAAACAGCATCTCAAGGATGGGGGAAGATTGTTGCACGCTATGTTCATGACCAGTGGATTTGCCTTCGTTTCATTTTAAATTCATTTCCAACACTGGCTCAAGGGTGTGAAGAAACTTCAGAGATGTCATTATCTACAGTTCAAAGGTCAAGAAAAATTCTAGAGTCTGCATTAGAAGCCCTAACTATTCTTCCTTCAGACCAAGTTTTACCTGTGTTCGACTGTATGAAAGTCCTTGTTCCCAAGGTAAAAGATAAAACAACTGCACTATATTAACAGTTTGGGGGGTGATTTTTGTCAAATGTAACGCTTCTTTCTTCTGTTTTCAGCTTCTGGACTCAGTGGAGTCTCTCTGCATAGAAGTATTTGATTTAGCTTGGAAAATTATATCCTCTTTGAGCAACACACAGCTAATATTTTGGTCCAATCTAAAAGCGTTTGTTGAGTTCGTCTTTGATACTGAGGTTCTAGCTGTTGCTGCGAGTGCAAAGGGTCAAGCATATGCCAAAATAAAAGAGGTCAGTTTAAAAATTGTTTCCTGGGAAGTGAACATAAATTTTATCTGGATCTAAAAATGTATTTTTACTTTTTATTTTTCCTTCAGCTGTTGTTGCTAATTTTTCATTTCCAAAAGGTACTAGTTTGAGAGCTGTAACACAAAAGATCTGAGAATTAGATTGAGGCTAAACAAATATATTGTTTCTTTCACATTCAGCAAAATGGATTTTTTGGTCTTTATTTTATTTTTACATTATGCACTTCCCCTTCAATGTTCAGGATTTGCCACCCGAACTGTCACAAACTATTAGTATTCTGGAAAAATTATGCCTTTTTCTAATAGTTCAGTCTTTATGAAAATACTTTCTTAAATTAAAAGTTCAACTGTTCAAAACTTTAATAGATGTTACTGAATAAACCAACTTTAACTGCTTCTTTAAAGGCTTTTCTTTTTCTCTGTGAAGGTCCAGGTGGAGAAAACATAAAAATCAGAGTCAAGAGTTCAATGTAATTCTGCATGGTAGAGTTGTCTCCATTGTTAAGAAGAGGAAAAAATGAATTTTTACGCTTTTTTTTTTTTTTGGTACGATGTATGCAATTTCCTGTAATCCAGAAGTTCTTCCGTATGTCATGGTGTTCTTTTTTCATTTTGAGTCGTTAAAACTGTTTCAGCGCTGGAATGTTGATTCATCTTGGCTTTATACGCTGGAATGTTGTTTACTGTGTCTTTTCTAAATATTCTTTCTTGGGTTTTTTGCTTTTTTTCTCTTCTGACCATCAATTAAATGTTTGTGCAGAACAGTCCACAATGACTGCAAGACTTCTACCAGAGCAGTAATACATTATCTAGTAGTTACCAGTATATATGTATGCTTAGGCTTAGGGTCTCATGCCCTGCTTTGCACTTACACACAAATCACACTGTTGAGGGGTTGCAATTCTGTTTTGAAGTGACCGTAAGTAGCTCCGTCTTGGTGTCACACTTGAAACTGGATATAATAGTACATCTCAGCTTTATTTTAGCCCAGACACTCCAAAATTATTTTTAATAAAATACAAAAAAATGGAAACCTCCTAGCTATTTAAAATGGCTGTGATATCTCCATATTAGCCTTAAGTATCTTAAAATATAGTCCCATTTATTTTATCTTTTTTGTTCTTGAAAATTGGCTTCAAATGAATGTTACTGTCATCTATTTTCAACAGTAGATAGCACTACACATTTGTAGTCTTCATGTGGACCCAAGCCAAAATAAGACATGCATGCAAAGATGGTAAAAATATCTCTTCAGTTCTGGCAATCGGTTAGCTTTGTCTTTTAATGTATATCTGCAATGGATAATTTCTGCTCAGTACTGTAGTGACTGATGAGCTGTGGTTAGTTTTTTATTTTTCTTTGATCTTAAAATTTGTTTAAATTCTTAGAATTACTGTCTTAACTTCAGCGTGAGTATTTCAAGCTTTATGTAAGGTGTATTTTGCCGATGTTGAGAGTCTTGAGTCTGTGTGACAGCTATCCCATTGTCTGCAGTGGGACATACCATGACAGCAGGCATCAAGGAGGTAACGAAGGTCTCCTATACTCAACAAAGGGCATCTGGTCGAGCCACCTTCTGCCCCTTCATAAGAAAATGAAGATAAAGTTCCCAAGCAAGTGCCTACTTACGTATATTCTTATCCCAGTCCTCGGCAGTCTCTGTTGCCATTGACCCTTTGTGCAACGGCTATTTAGATTTAGCTAAAGAGAAAGAAAAAATGGAACTGCCTGATACTGATTTGTCACAGAAACATAATTTTAATTTTGTCTATCACAGTGCACTGTGTCTTTTTAATAATAGTTAGAAGGGGTGGAACAAAGGGGTATTTTTGAGCCAAAAAAAGGGAATATTGCTATGGTAAAATCCAGAAGGGCTTCTGCAGAAGTGCCCAGAGCACTGTGTTCTTAGGCTTCATTTCTTCTGCTGCAATTTTCCTTTTCCTTTCTGATTATTCAGATGTTAATTGTGCTAGAACTTAAATTTGTTAAATTTCCTTTGTGTGTCCTAGACTTTTACTATGTTAATGACACAATTGAAAAACATTTCAGGATTGAGAAATGCATAGTAAATGTCATGCTGCTTCCCTATGGGTGAAACACAACGGTTCAATTTTGGAAATATTAGGAAAGTTACAATGCCTGGTTTTGCAACAAAAGAAAAGTTTGAATTCTTTGTAAGGAAGACCAAATGTTTCTAGGGTGGGTTTTTCTGTAGGTTTTTTTTGTTTGCTTGGTTTTGTGTGGTTTGTTGGGTTTTTTTTTTCCCCAGAAAGTATTTCTTCAGAGTGCATTTTAGTATTTCAGTTTAAGCTCTTCATGAGTTTCTTGGTGGTTTAATCCTTAGCAATTCAGAACAACTTTCTCTGTAAAACCAAAGTTACCGTCAAAGTATTGTCACATTATCAAAAGTATCATTTCAGAGTAGGGAAGAGAAGCAGCTTTGTCTTGTTTTCCAGAAGGCGTGAGAGTTCTTACCATTCCAATGGGCAGCTCTAACTGATGTTGTCTAGGAAGGAATTTACAAAAACCCCACCTGTTCATTCTGAACCTCCCTGTCCTCTCCCAAATGCTTGCAATTTCTTAGAAAAAATTTGCTTTGTAACTGAAGTTTACTCTTGCACTTAGCCTAATGAAGGGAGCAGGAAAGGAAAGTTTTGCAGCCATTTTTCTTCTTTTGTTTTATTTTTCTCCTTTTTTGGAGAAGATCTAGATAGCTGTTTCATATCTTAAATATGCCCTCCTCAAAAACAACCCCAAAATTTAATGGTACAAAGATATTTTTCCACTTGAAGTTAAAATTTGTATTTGAGTTAAAAGTTAACGTAATCCTCATTAAAGAAGAGAATTAGTGATATGGCCACCTACGGAAGAAATTTTGTATAATATTATTTTTTTTCTAAATTGGTAAGGATTGCTTAAAAACACCAGGTTTGTACTCAGGAAGTAAGCACAGATGCGTTTGTTTGTGGAAAGCATCCAGTGTTATATCTGTTTAAGCAAAGATCATTTCTGTCTGTTGTTGACAAAAGCATGTGCTGGGCCAGTTGTTGCCCATTCACCTGCCCGTATAATCAGGGAATTGTAAATAGATTGAAGACAGCATTAACCTGAGCAGAGATAGGATGAGGAAGATGATTGGATCTGCTGAGATAGATATCGCCGCAATATTATTCTAATAGTTCTAGCACTTCTGAAAACTAGATTTTGATTCTCTTATTTCTTCTTCTTTTCAGATAATTTTCAAGCTCATAGATATGTCCACTACAAAGACTGGAGTGTTCAATGTAGTCCTTAGTCATTGTTGTCGATCTTGGATATTTCCCACTGTTGATGAGAGAAGTGCCTTGACAAGTGCTTTCTTAAATGCTGGAAATTATTGTGAACTTATCACTGAGGCTTGTGTCTTTGGAACTGTATTTAGGAGAGATCAAAGGTATTAAAAAAAGCTTCATTGTATTTGTTATAATTTTATGCACTTTGTTTTCTTTTAAACTTTGAGATAACTATTGAAAACAGGTTTTGTATGCTATTCTGCTAATTTGTTGCTTTGTCGTCTTTCATCTGTGAAGACTTATTCAGGATGTGCACGCCTTCATAGAAAATCTTGGAGAAAAATGTGCAGCAAATGTTGTTACAGAAAGGTAATGATTTTGAGGATACATCCTACAAATTTGATGTGAATTGTGTCTTCGTTACGATTTGATGGTACAATAGGAAAGATGCTGGTTTTGAAGTCAGCTTCTTATCATAGAATCACAGAATGTCTCACGTTGGAAGAGACCCATAAGGAGTATAGTCATGATCTTTTAAAATATTGGTAAAAGGGATATGTATCACATCATAGTCATAATTCAAATACAAAATGTAGAAAATGCTAAGTATTTTCAGGAAAATATATCCCACTTGTTAATCTGAATGGGACTGCAATAACTACTTCCTCATTGTTTCACCTCAAAAAAGTAATGCTTTTTGGCACGCAGACCTGTTATGTACCTTATCATTGCAGGCAAGACAGTTAAGAAACTCGGGTTTTAATGCAGCCAGATTTGGAGCTTGGCTTTTTAACATTGGTTATAGGTCTTTTTAGCTTGCATACTGGCAGTCGACTCCAGCTGTTGAAACAAGGACATTGGCTGCTGGATTATTGAACTTTTTTTGTTGTTTCACTCCCACCTTTACTCGGTGGGAGAAAGTCAGAGAAACAGTTCTAATGTAGTGTTTTGAGAAGTGTTAGTAGTTGCTGAAACTTGAGCTTTTAAAAGATCTACTGCCAAAGTTCACTACTGTATTTTCTCCCAAGAGCTTCTTGGTTTCCAAATGTCTGGTTGTGAGAATATGCAGCTGTGTGATGCTTTGTTACCTAAAATGTCATTAATTCTGCTCTTAGCATTAATTGTTCCAAATGTCTCTGAGTAATTAATAAGAATCAAGTGTGGTTTTGGACCAGAATATTTGACCCAACTGAAAGCTGTTTTAAGATTATGGTTTACAGACACAGAACTTCAGAAACTTCTTATGATACAACTATTTCTATAGGAAATTATTTTAAACACTTAGGTGCTATTAAAGACCTGTAGATAGAAGCAGGGGCAGGTTATCTGGAACTCAATAGTTTTCTTCATCAGCAATGATGAACAGACTTTACAATTCTGATTCTGGGTATTTACATATTGTCTCACTACAGACAACTTGATGGCTGTATGTTCAAGATGTCGTTTGGTGCTTTTTTATAATTTAGGAATTATCTTTATGTCTGAAGAAGTAGAGTTTGATTTCTGTTTTTTTAATTAATATTTTACAGTACAAATCGTGATGATCACTACGTCCGGGTTTGTGCTATTAAATTTCTGTGTCTGTTGGATGGATCAAATATCTTGCATAAGACGTTAATGGAAGACATTTTCATGAAACTACTTGATAAAGTAAACTTCATTTCTCTTGGTATATAAATGTAATGTTAGTACAATTATTAAAACGCAAAGTATTTACAGTTGACAGGATGTATTTACAGATGTTTGGATAGCCTGTCTAGATCTACCCACTAATACACTTTTTTTGTTATGAGACAGAAGTTAATTCAGCCAAACCAAACTAGTAAAAATTGTCTTTCGGGTTTATTTTTCTCTTTTTAGTGGATTTTCTGACTTCACAGAACGTTATCCAAATTGTAACCATTATTCATTAAGAATCTTTCCTTAGGCTGCATTTTGAAGCACCACATTTCACTTTAACAATTCCAGACTACCTTTTGAATTGAGAGCGCTATTGCCTCCTTAGAAGACCTTTATAAATAGAATTAATGGAGAAGGTTGGGGTCTGATTTTCTTTTATATCATAGCTGCTTATGCATTGGCAGTAGTGTAAAGTCAGTGATAAATTACTACAGCTGCTATTAGAAACTCACCCCCTGCATTCTTGCACTATAGAATTCTGCTTTTGTCTGAAGAACAAGGAATGGGTGATCCTTCATTCCTCTCAATTAACTACTGGAGAAAAATGGATAATATTTGTGTTGAAAGATTGATCAAGTGGGAAAAGTGAACTTTAAAAGTGATTTTCTTACTTGCTTAAGTATGAAACTTAAACGTGTAAAAATAAAGTATATTTGCATTTTAATATTAGTATAGGACTTGGAACACCAAATAGCTTTCTCCTTAAAAAGTTAAGGAAATAGTTTTGGGTGTCATGTATTTTAATGCCAAAACAGTACATAGGGGAAGAATCTAAGGTATATGAGAACATAAATTTAAAATCTTTTTAAAGGTCCATTTATCTTATCTATTTTCTTTCACATAAAACATCTTACTGCAGAATGTCAATTTCTGTCTCAAAACTAGAGCTGTAGTTACAAGCTGATCTAATTGATAGCATGACTAAACCCATTTTTTAAATGTAGACACTGAAGTAGAGATGTTTTCATTTACATACTCATCCCTTCGCTTAGGATCTTCAGTTCTCGTATAACTAAATGACAGCTTGATTCTTCATGCTCCATCTAATGTAGTACTATTTTAATTGTTCCTGTACAGTAGGTGCTGTAAATTCTTCAACTTTCTGCTGTTGAAGAGTCTTAATACCTAACACTTTTGTGCTCTAATACTAAGTGGAATTGTATCTTTTTTTTTTTATTTCAACTTTCCAAACTTCTCATGGACAAGCTTCAAAATTTAATTTTAAGTAAATGAAATTAATATATTTTTCCTAACTTTATATTCAATGCTGATACTAGCTGTGCAGTAGATGCTGCTTTCTCAGTACAACGAAGTATATTTCCATGTATTCAATTTTAAAGGAAGAATAGGTAATTAATCTTTTAATTTGCTTTTAGGATGAGCTGGTATCCAGATCTAGAACCCGCTATTATGCAAACTCTTTACAGCATAGAATTAAAAACCGGGTATGGCAGACACTCTTAGTCCTTCTTCCGAAGCTTGACCAGGTATTGCTCTTCACTATGAATTCTTAAATAAGTAAATAGCTACTTTCAAGAATAATTTGGTGTCATGCAAACTGCCTATGTTGAATTATAGTAGGGTATAAAAGGCATGTAATATCTGTGGCTGGTGTAGAAGTTCTGTGTAGTTTCATTCTTGCAGTCTGCAGTCACAGATTTATGATGCGTTTCTAGAGGTCACTGAAAACTGGTCCTTGGATTTGTGGATTATAGGAGACTAGATTGTTCCTGTTAAAGCTGGCTAAAAGCTACCTAAAACTCTGTACTGACTGACTGATTTAAAGCTTTTCATTCAGTAAAAATTTTGCTACCTTATTGAACACTCAGAAAACGGAGAAATTTTAGTTTCATCTAATGCTGCTTCTTCATATTTGAAAAGTATAATACAGAATTTAGATGGTTCTAAAAGGTTTTCATCTGACTATTGAAAATATTTCTAATATTATGATAAAGCTGAGCATGTTCTTTTATATAGAATTTTTTTCTTCATTGAAATAACTCTAACAATATACTAAATGCTTATCTGATTCTGTTTTCTCAGAACTTTTTGTGTGGAACCCTTGACAAAGTTTTCCAGGCAGGATTTAGTAACAATCAGGCATCTGTGAAATACTTCATAGAATGGATTGTTATCTTGAGTCTACATAAATACCCCCAATTCCTTAATAAATTCTGGGATTGCTTTTGCTATGTAAGTAAGAACTTTGGCATTCGCTTGAAGAGTAATTTGAACAAAGAGGGTACAGTTTGTTTTCCCATACCTTAATTTCCGTGCATTCCAATTTTCATTTAGCAGCACTAGGTTGTTGAGCAGATCAAATTAACTTGAAAGTGAGTCTGAACTACAGTATGAGACATTTAGAAATTTGCGATACAGAAGTGGCTGAAGATGGGTGAATTCTTCCAGTTGAGAGATTTCGTTTTATAATGTACTTCTCTGGGCAGAGTAGAGTTGGCATAGTGAGTCAGAATCTTTGCAATCTCCAATAGAAGAGCTGTCAGGAACACATGGATGCCCTGGATTCTGAGTTTGGGAAGATACTGCAAAGTTGCTTGTGGTTCCACACCCAGCTTTGGTCTTCTGCATCTTGTTTGTTAGTGAGAACGTGACTGGCATAACACATACTCAATTTGCAGCTTTTAATATGGACTTCCTCACTGTGGAGTTCTATAATGTGGTTCCAGAAGTGGAGGCAGGGGTTTGAATTATGGTACCCAAAACTCACGAAAGGGTTGACTGACAACTGACTTACTAGCATTTAATTTTCATGTCTTGGATTCCTGTTTAAGTAGGAGTTGACCTGTAGAAATAGTAACTGTAGTGATGTTCTTGAATTTGTTAGCATTGCAGATGTGGACTGAGTAGAAAATGAATGTACTTGCATCTCCTCCAGTGTGTAGGAAGACATTACTTGCAGTGGTGCCTCTGCTGAAGGTCACCACTCATAATAGTTAAATGTGGATGTCGTCTTGCTTACCAAATAGCCTGGTTGCTACTCTACTTTTTCTTAAAGTCAGACAGTAGGACAAGAATTAAAATTAAGCTGAACTTGAGCATCCAGTGCAATGCTGTGACAAAATGGATGAGTAGGAACTGTATCTGTAAACAGAAGTGGTGAACGGAAGTGTGGAAACTCGTTTCTTCCAGTACAGAACATGTATTTGTTCTGTGTCCGATATCCATATTTGTGACGACACAGAAAAGTGCAAGCACTGAAAAAAAACCCCGAAGTTTTTATTGGGTTCAGGGTTTTTTTGGGGGAGAGAGGGAGAATACATTTGGGTTGAATTCTAGCTCTTTTACACTGCTGTATACTTTGTTCTGATTAATGTATTAGTAAAAAGCAAATAAGATGTTAGGAAAAATGAAATCTTATTAATATGAACCTTATATTTTAATAAATTTTGCTGAGGAAACATGGGTTTTTTTAATAGTGTTGATACTATTGCATCTGTAGAACATGCTGTGAAAACTTACATGGTATTAAAACGTTTTATATATGCATATTTCTTGTTACATTCTCTTTTGCTTTAGGATGAAGAAAAGCTTAAAACAAGCATCTGCACATTTTTATCAGTGTTATCGCACTTTGACATCATTCTTCAGAATACCTCAGAGAAGGTAAGTTTGACTAAAATGTTCATTCTTTATTTGGTTGCACTGTATGTGGATTTCTGAAATAAAAACCATTTTTGCAGTCTATTTTCAAAACCTTTTTAATACCTACTTCCTACTAAGGTATCCTTTCATATGGAAAACTGATCTTCCTGTCACCTCTGTAACATGTTGGACTTACAAAAATTAGCTAAATGGCAGATGTTCTGGATACGTAGGGCCTGAATACCTGTGTGTTTTTCTAGAATAGCTACTCTGGTTTTAACTAAACATGTGGATGCACCTGGGTTTGGTTTGCTTGCCGCTCTTGTTTAATCTGCATGGAACTGGCCAGAGGTAACCTGGAAGATGATGATCTTTCTATAGAATAACAACACTCAAATATGGAGTTCTTTGGCAGTAGCTAGTCCATATTAAATTTAGAATTCTTTATTTGGAATTCTCAATTTTTTTATTGAACTTTAAAATAGACAATGAAATACAGTCAGATGCTACATTAGATCAACTACTTCACATCTGGATCAGTCCAGGCGTTTCTGTTATTTTTTTTAGTGTTTGCATACATTTGCAAGACCAGCTTTCTAAAGTGCCACAAAATCAGAAATAAATAGAGATTTCTGTGTATGCAGAATAATTTTAAAGCAAACTAATACATTTTCAAAACATAAGTGGGGGCTGTAGGTCCGTGCCCTATTGAGAAGGAAGGGAGGAAATCAGGACCATGTTCTGAGGCCTGTATTTGCACACAGATGTACTGTTAAAGCTGTGGACTTTCTGAAGGGCTCTTTTTGGAGGAAGCCACTGTTTTTTGGGCCACTTTTACTTTTTTACTTCTGAATGGTACATTAAGACTTAACATAAATGAAAGAAACATCTTTATCTTTGTTTTTTTAGAAGCCAGCTTTGAAGAAAGCACTCATAGTTGTTCTACAGTGGTGTTTCAACCATAATTTCAGCGTTCGACTTTACGCATTAGTTGCCCTTAAAAAAATTTGGGGTATGTGCAGAATATTGCATGTGGAAGAATTTGAAGCTCTGACACCAGTTATTGAATCTAGCCTTCAACAAGTGGAAAACATGCATGGCACAGGGTTAGTAACATCCTTCTGACTTACAGCTTAACATTCTTCTTCTGACCCATTTGCATCAAGTCTAATTTTCTAAAATAGCACTTGATAATTTCTATGGGGGTTTATGTTTTTTTTGTTTTCTTTTTTAACTCTTTAAAAAGAAACTAAAACTCGGAAATTGAAAACTAATAATCAGCATAGAAAATTAAGTGATAGTTCAGTGTAGCGTTGCAGTCTGAAAGCACAAGAGGGAAAAACTCAAGGCATGTTTGAACAGTTCTTATGGTTTAGGGGTGGAGGGAAAAAAAAAAGTCAGGAGTGCTTAATTTTCTTACCTGATGGGTTTTGAAGCAATAAAATTCATTTTTCCGAACTTCTGGATACCAGTAAATTCTCAAATATAAAAATCAAAAATGTTTTTGGTATTAATACTTAAAAAAAAAACTTATGTGGGAGAAAAATGGATAGGGAAGTTAATTTTGGGTGATGATTAAATGAGCTTTACAGAAATGCTTTTCTGCTTACTGATTTGGAAATACAACAATTCAGTTAAATTTTGTAGTCTTTGTGTGTTTACATCCTTTTTTTTTTTAGCCTTGTTTTTAGGAGTTAATTAAAATTATTTGGAATTTCTGACAATGTGTGCTGGTTTCCACTGCAGTAAAGTTAATTTTCTTTTTAGTAGCTGGTATAGTGCTGTATTTTGAATTTAACATGAGAATAATGTTGATAGCACACTGATGTTTTCAGTTGTTGCTGGGTAGTTGTACTGCTTACACTAAGTCAAGGACTTTTCAGCTTCTCATGCCCTGCCAGGTAAGTACAGGAGGCTGGGAGAGCACAGCCAGCACAGCTGGCCCGGACTGGCCAAAGGGACATTCCCTACCATATAGCGCTGTGCTCCGGACATAGCTGGGGAAGCTGCCGGGAAGTGGGATCGCTGCTCGGAAACAGACTGGGCATCGGGTGGGGTTTCTTCCTGCAGGTGGTGAGCAATTGCATTTGTGCATCACTTGCTGTTGTTATTATTACTATATTACTCTCTTCCTTTGTTATCCTATTAAACTTTCTTTGTCTCAACCCATGAGGGTTTTTTTTCCATTCTCTCCCCCATCCTACCAGGGAGGGGTGAGCGAGCGGCTGCCTGGAGCTTAGTTACCACCTGGAGCTAAACCAGGACACGGTGTTGTCAGCCAGCATAACGTAAACCTGGGACTGCTGCTAAGTTGGGGTTTTTTTGGTTGGTTTGTTTTGGGGGTTTTTTTGAGAACATTAGTATTCATTTCCCTGATCAGTGTCACTGTTAAATCGCCCAAGTTGGCCTGTCAAGACATGGGATAGAAAAAAAGCAATGGAGGGAGGAGGAGGAGTCTGCTCTTCTTTTTTTTTTTTTTTTTTTGACAGCTAAAAGTTGTCACTGAACCATGGTATTCAGTTTCCTTCAGGGGCCTAGATGGGATACTCTCTTGCCAAACTTGCTTCTTTTGATAATAGAATTTGGAGACATGGGCCTTTCTTGAAACATAAATAAAACTTACTTCCCAAATGCTGTTTTGTTTTGGTTTAAATGCATACTTACTTAATTGAGAAAGTATTTTCTTTCCTATACAGTATATAGTAAATACAATCAGGTTGCCTTATTCCAATTTGACAATTTAAAAAAAAAAAAAATCCATTACGTCGCCTTTTTTGTACAACTTGCATTACTTTCTGCAATTGCAGGAAGGCTAGAAGGAACTGGCAGCGAATCCAAGATCATTTCTTCTTTGCAACATTTCATCCACTTGAAGATTATAGTCTAGAGGCAAGTCTGAGACTATTGCTGATCACTGTGTTTGTGTAGTTTTACAACTGTATTTTTATCTTTCTTTGTATGTTCTAATGTAGGGTCAATAATGATCAACTATTACTTATTTAAAATGCTGAAAAAATTACTTCACCTAAATTGTGAGGGATTTTAGACTAAGACTGTAGCTTAATTCTCATATTAATACTGTGTTAAAAACCCGGGTCAATTAAGAAGAGGTATGTGTGATGAATGTGCCCATCTGTGTGGGAGTTCATCAGGTTTCATATTTGTGGGTGGAAAAGTTACTTCTAATAACTGAAGAGCATCTGCTTAATCGCATGTAGCTTATTAGGATTTTTGAGACATCTCCTGTTCTTAGAAATAACGAGGTTGATTAACTAAATTGTTGTTTGATGGGAATGAGATAGAGATACATAACTTCTAGAGCATATTTTTCAGCTATCCTTTTTGCCATAGCTTAAATAACTAACAGCTGAATAAACACTGAGGGAAGGAAGGCAAAAATAACGGTGCAGATAACAACAAGAGAAAGATGCACTGTGTTGAAAATACAAGATAAACATGAATGTGAAAGGGGTACATGTGTTCTGGCAGAAACACTGCCATCTTTCAGAGAAGGAATTCTTTTTTTCTTTTAACTGATGTTCTGTGAAATATTTTTGTGAACCCTTAAATATGCTAGATATGACTTAGCAAAATTCAAAAGTGAAAATCCTGAAGAAAAAATGCAACTTGTTAAGCATTTCAGTGTATTCAAGGTGCATCTTCACCTTCATCTTGAGGGTGCATTGGGATAAACAAAATGTCTGGGTTTTAATCTCTTCATCTTATTTAGCCTTTCCCTTGGGGTGTGTGTTTGTTCCTCCTTGATAAATTGTGATTGGTTGTACTGGTAGTGCTGAGTTAGATTTTGCCACTAGACTAATGCTTTTGACTATATTCCTTTTAACATGAAATCAATCTGCATTCTTTACTACAAGTTCATAAGAGCATCTGAAAACTCTTTAGTGTTATGTGTGAAACATTTTCACAAGATCTCTGTGCTGAGAAGCATAGTGTTAATTCTGTGGTACTCTAGAATTTCAGAACAGTAAGGATCTGCATTGATTAAAAAGGTCTAATCAGAGAGAGAAAGAGACCAGTTTTATGAAAGTTTGGGATAGCACTATGGGTAAAGTGATGAATATTGAGAGATATATTAGTAGTAAGTTATATCGAGTGCCAGGAAAAGTATTAAAAGCATAGAATGCTAGATAAGATGTGTGTGATAAAATTACTAGAGATTAATTTATTATCTGTTTTGCTTGCTTTAGTGGTGCTCTGCTAATAATACTGTGTTACATTGCAGACAATATTTTACACTCTTCCCCGCCTTTCGGAACTGGCTGAGGATGAATGGATCTCACTTTCTAAATTTGACAGATTCACTGACATTCCTTTGCCACCAGCATTTCAGTGGTATCGTTCTCGAATGGAACTTCATGATCTGAAACCGAGTGACTGGTCTCAGCAAGACATGGGTAAAATACAGCTAATCTGTATTAAATACAATTATTTGTATGTACTATCTGTATACATCTGTGTATGATCTCTGTGTTTTTCAGCTGAAGTAGACTTGTATCTATGTGAGCAGAGTATATGCCATAAGATAATAGTAGATGACTAATGGTGTCTACAGTACTACCATTAGAGTATATGCCATAAGATAATAGTAGATGACTAATGGTGTCTACAGTATTACCATTATTACCATAATCTTCTTTACTGAAGCAGTAGTTTCACTAATGCTTGCATATCTGTATGACTGCTACTTGTTCTTACAGGTTCAAATTCAGCTGAAACAGATAGCCAGACTGAATGGACTGATGTTCAGAAAAAGATTATACCCTGGAAAAATAGTACTCCTAGTTTAGACCTGGAAATGGTATTTCAGGATCGTGCTGCTAAACTCGGTAAATCGAACAGCAGACTGATTGTGGTGGCTTCACTTATTGATAAACCTACCAATTTAGGAGGTAAGGTTGATTGTACATTTTTAAACTTTTACTGTAGACCTTAGAGCCCACTTGGATAATAGGAATAAATTTCATCTTATCTTGATAATTAGAAAATTATTTAAGTACTGCTCAGAGAAATACATCATTATCCTGAAAAGAAACTGGTAACCAAAAGAAATAATACCTGCTTCAGAAGAGGTCTTCTATATTTACATTTTAAGGAGGAAAAAAAAAAAAAAGTACTTACACATAGCATGCGTTAATTAAATAGAACTTCGCTGCAAATCACGCTCAGTTTCTTACTGTTTTTGTATTCTTTGTTACAGTTGAGTTTCTCGATTGTGTATGCAGTTAAAGGAAATAATTTGCGTTTGTTTTTAAACAATTAAACCAAATTCTGTAGACCTACTAGTTTCTCATGACTTGGACAGGAAAGTGCCCATTCCTGATTTAAGTACTCCTTCACAATGTTGCACAAGCTGTGATATAATAAATCCTGCGGATACTTTATTGCATTGTGCTTGCTGTGGTCAGCAGTTTAAATAACTGCGGTGAGAGTGTTAATGAAAAATACGCCCACAAGCTGGTGCTGTCTGCATTGTCATGCTCTCATGTGTCATTCTCTCCAGCCTTTTGTTTAACAGGTACTGGATTTAGAGCTTAAGCGTGTGTGTGCGTGTGTCCATCCATCCCTGCAGAGGTTTTTACACTGACTCATTACTTTGTGTAATTAGTATTGTAGAAGCATGTTGTCAGACATAGTGCTTTTCTAATTTTTATCTTTCTGTTACGTTACAAAACTTTTTTTTTTCTGGTAAATTATATGGAACAATGTGTGGCTTGGAACAGATGTAAGATGCACCTGAAACGGATCAAAAATAGAGGACCAACCTAACCATTTCTCTTTCGGATTCTTTGTCCTTTTTCACTTGCTAAAAATATTCTGGCTTGGTGTTTATTTTCTACACAAAAATCATTTTCATTCTTCTGTTTGTAGGTTTATGTCGTACAAGTGAAATATTTGGGGCATCTGCACTAGTTGTTGGCAGTCTTCATTATATACAGGACAAGCAGTTTCAGCATCTTAGTGTTTCTGCAGAGCAGTGGCTCCCCCTTGTTGAGGTGAATGGAAACATTTTAATAGCTAAAAAGTGTACTGTACATCTTCAGTTCATCAGATGCATAGTTCAGTGTCTTTTTTTCTCTTGCAAAAATGAACTTAATATTTAACAGAAGCTCCCGCTGTTGACTCGGAGACTTAATCTTGAGTGTTTTGGAATAAACTTTGGGTCAACCTCAAAAAAGAATTTTAAAATTACTTTTAATTTCTTATTGCTGTGATAAACTGATTATGTGAGCTGTCATTATTATATCTTACTCTGTGTTTTATAGTGGTGCATTGGAATTTAATGTTTATATATAAAAGTTGAACACTTCACATTTATCTTGCTTGGTCCATTGTGTTTGGTAATTTCATGGGAATAATCTTTGAGTTTGCCCAAAGCTAACTTGTGCCAAGCTTTTAGGACCTATTATCTAACTTGTAAAAATGAAAGTTTCAACCTATATGTTTAGTATTTGAGAGTAGGATGAAGACAACTAAGAAATTCTTCACTGCAAGCTATCACAAGTTGTAATGCAGGCATGTAAGGCAACTCAGCTTCAATGCTGGCTGTTGTATTGTTTTGGGAAGGGATTCCAGGTTAAACAACTGTGCACCTTGTCCCTACGCAAGAATTATTCTGTTACATTCAGATGTAAGGCTTGTAGCTGTCAGAAGCATAGAAAAGCCTTTGTTCATTGTATTTGTGGAGTACATTTTTTGTGGCGTTACTTAACCTTTTGTGCTATTGCTGGAGAGCTTTTAAAATGGTAAGCTGTGTAGGTGGACACTGTCTTTGGGCATAAAAGTCATTCATCTGAAAAGCTGTCAAGTAACTTCAGAAGATTATAAACAGCAGTATTTAAATATTTGTATATGTCTCTCTACTTTTGACGGACAGGTGAAGCCATCTCAGCTTGTTGATTATTTACAGCAGAAAAAAACGGAAGGTTACACTATTATTGGTGTGGAGCAGACAGCTAAAAGTTTTGATCTTACAGAGTATTGCTTCCCAGAGAAGTCACTATTATTGCTGGGGTAAGAATACGCACATTTTTGTAAATATACCTCTTGTAGTCCATCCCTTCTACTCATCAGAGTTTGGTCATATGAAAACCCAGTGACACTGGTAATGGCAGATTTAGAATGGGAAGTGATTATGGAAACAGCAGAGCTTGGAGTGGGAGGTATTGCTGTCTACTCCCAAATGGTCCTTCTCCTCGTACTTAAAACCTATCCATATGGTATAACTCCTTTCTCTTTTTTTATGGGTGGAGGTAGCAACAGCATGGATTATAGTTTTTCAGGTGCGATAGTGGTGTCTGTCAGGTTCAGCAATATGGGGCCCTGTAAATGTAGGCTGTGGTGAGCTCAGCAAGAAACAGGGCTGCCTGTTTACCCTGCTTAACTGGGCGAGGAGGGCTGGAGCGGAGCGCGAGCATGCCTAGCTGGGAGATCCTTTAAAATTAAGGATGAGGCACAGGACGAAGTAGCAAATTTTTGCAGTACAACTTCAGAGAAAAGCAGTAATCAGCGCCTATAAGCAGGCAAGCCTCAGGTGTGACAAAGGGGAGGCCACTTCAAGAAATCTAGAGGCAGAAAGCCACTGGAATCGCAGGGCCACTGAGACCAGGAGAAAGGACCTGTCTATCCTTTTAGCACAAAGTGGGCAGAAATAACTGTTTGTTCAAACCTTTTTATGCGTAGCTTGTCTAGCGAATGTAGTTCTCATAATCACATTGTTCTAATCAAAACCATACATTTTAATTGCTGATAACCTTTGGTATCTTCTGGTGTGCTCATTCTGAAGAGGGGAAACATTTCCAGTTTAAGGCTTCCATCAGTCTTGACGTTCTTTTATCGTACCAAGACCTCATTGAATGTACAGTGAGCAATTGAGCTTCCCTCCTGTGCCAGCAGCTTCATGCTCTGGTTGTTTCATTGACAGCTGTTTATTTCGCTATATATGGATAGTTTCAAAATAAAGGCAGAGGGAGTCCTTATGTTGGGTGTTCAGGTATTGCTGGACCAGTGAATTAAAGATGAAGTGCTCTAGCAGTTTTCCTACATCACTCAAGTCTCCCATGTTTTCTTTGTATCTGTAATGTATTAGGTTTTTTTTAAAAAAAATAAAATAATTTCTTGTCCTCATTGGTTACACTGAAGGCAGATGCACCATTCATCAAAGGGTGTTTCGATGCTGTTGTGACTTCTGCATCTTCTGCTATCTAGAACACCTGTCTTTTCCCAGATACCAGTTACTGTTTCTTCTTTACTAGAAATGAACATGAAGGAATCCCAGCAAACCTGATTCACCACCTGGATGTCTGTGTGGAAATTCCTCAGCAGGGTATTATTCGATCACTCAATGTTCATGTAAGTGGAGCTCTGCTGATTTGGGAGTACACAAGGCAACAAGTGATCAAGCAAAAACAACAAAAATAACTGCCAAGAGTTTTGTGCCTTACAGTACAGCTGGATGACTTCCTATGGTGCTACAACGTGAAATTCTGAATAGACGAGACACAAACTCAGGGTGAATGAGTATTCTTAAGTTTTGCATGTGTTGCTCTCTTGTAGTTCAGACTGATTTTTAAATGCCTTATTAATACTTTACCTCCTTAAATAAAACTGTTGCATTGGAAATAAAAGCTATTTATATTGCATGTGGTGTGTGTGATTTTTCTACTATTAGAACATCAGCATAGTACCATGAACAATCCCAACCCCAAAACATGGGATTTTTACTGCAGTTACTTTGATTGTGATGATCACGCTTGAAACTGAAGTACCTTCCTACAGCCACAATCAAAACTTACTGTAGCCAAAATATTTAATGCCTCTAGCATCTAGATATACTAGATTATATAATTTTTGCAAGGTGAATTAATTTACATCGGTACATTAAATGCTGCCCTTTGTTTAAATGCCTTTCATGCTCAAGTTTACTAATCCTGTTGTAAACAGTCTGTATCTTTAAATGGAGTTGCATCAGTAAGGTAATCAAAAATGAATTATACAAAAGGCCATAATGGGAGAATCATGATAAATAACTGCCATACTTCTAACAGCAATACTGCTTGAACACTGTTACAACTAATGTAAAAATTCCTATTCATTTTTTTTATAAGCATACTCAAAGTATTTAAATGACGTTATCATGCACAACTGCCTGTTGTTTTAGAAACTGATGTCTGACTTCTTTAAAATACAGTTTAACTTTCAAATACAAATTACATTATACCACCCTTTGACAAGCAGGGGAAAGTGGATTTTTTTTTTTTTTTTAAGGAAAAGCTGGTTCACTTACTGAAAAACAATTTTATTGCTCTCTTTAGAATATGTATATTACACTATTAAATAATCATTTATTTCTATGAAACAATTTGACCAATTATTCATTCAAAGCAGATTTGCGAACAGCCGTGCACCATGTTTCTTTGACTTAGACTTAAGAAAAAGCTGTCCATGACCATCTTTTTTCAGCAGACATGAGACCTTGCACCAAGAACAGCAGCTTGCGTTTCAGGGTGACAGTCGGGTTACCAGCTCTTGAGCTCAAGTAGCTTCTGTCATTTTCTCGTGCTTCTTACTTCCATAGTTATCCTCGCTAGATTTATTTTGAAAGCAGAGTACCTAAGACTTTCCAGCAGCTTCTGGAGGATGATACCCTTCTGTTTCAAGCTTTTTTTTGTATTTTAAAAAGTCTCTTCTTTTGTCAAAATGTTTCACCTGTTTAAAAAAAGTAAATACGTTCATCAGAAGAACCTAGGGGAGGGCTTTGTGTATCACAGCAAGACTAAGGAATAAACAATCTTTGATCACGGAGGTTAAGGAGGATTTTAACTCAATACACTAGTTAGAAGTTTCTTGCTCTGTTGCAGAAGACTAAAGGGTGGAGCGGGTTGCTTGCTTCTGTGTTGCGGGGGTTTTTTACCATTCTGAAAGTGAACTTCAGTTTCCTGTCATACCCACCCCATTATTCTACGGACATCTAATACAAGTAGTCTATTGCTTTGCTATTTTCAGTGCTATGAACAAAGATTATTTGTAATACAAAGGTAAGTCCAGCAGCTTTTCTATGGTATCACAGACTATGTGACCTCTGAATTCATTGCCTAAAGCCACCGATGTGTATGGTATGAAACACTGGCAAATGAAAACACCATCATTAGAGATGACATATGACAGAACTGCAGTGTTCAAAGTATAATCCAGTGCAGCAGCTGTGAATGTACCGGGTTTAACTGACTTAATTCTACTAGCTCCAACAGGAGCTGTTCAGCCCCTTGGACACTACTGTTACTGAAAGGCAATGCCTATAAAATTAAGAATTGAAGCTTGATCTTAGGAAACTAAAAAACACAAATGAGTAAGTTACATGCAGGCAGATGGTTTACTGTGAAATTATGCTGCATGAAGAAGGGTATCTTTATGCACAAGAAGATACCAGATGCCAGTCTGAGGAGGCCGTGCAACCGCACTCCCTGCGTGTCGCCTCCCTTCCGTATTAACCTTTCTTCTTTAGCAATTTCTGTGCACTTCTAAAAGCTTCTGAGTAGCTTTCAGAACTTCTTAATTAAATAAGCTTGTATAGTTGCGTATTTACCTGAAAGTTTGACATCATATTTTCTTTTTCCCTTTATACTAAATACTTTATACTACCCTCTAGTCCCCGGGCCAGTCGGTGTTCTGCTCAGGAGCTGTAACTAAACCCGTGCAAACCACGTCACGTCCGGCTAGGCCGCAGGGTTATCAGTGAGAAGGTGCCAGACCGCAGACGTTCTGCAACCCGCGACGCGGGAGCTGCCGCGGTTAAGAAGGTAACGCCAATTACTCGGGGACGCCCCGGCACCACCGCGCAGGGACAGGAAGGCTCCGGGCGCTGCGGGGGGGCCGAGCGCAGGGGGCGG